AAGGTTACTTTATACTTTTATACTTTAAGTAGTTTTTGGAGCACATACTTTTTCACTTTTCCTTGAGTAAAGAGGTCAAGTTGATACTTCAACTTTTAATAAAGTGGTTTTAAACTGCAGTATCTAAACTTCTACTTAAGTAACAAATTGGTGAACTTTTGACACCACTGTTAAAAACTTAATTTCCATCACAGCTACCAAAATGAAACATTCACAGAAATGCTGTCTTGGTCTTGGTGAGCTTTTATAGAATCTACAGCCTCTTAAAAGGTCTGAATTGTCAATTGTAAAAATTGAATAAGATAAGAGTTAAGATTTTTAATCCTTAGCCTATTACCAAATATTCATACATAGTGTAGTTTGCATGGCTCCTGTATTAGTGCCAGTATTCCAGTAATAACTCATTACTTTCACATTGTTTGTCTTACTTGAGCTGGATAAAATTATTATCAAATTCTTAGTTTACAGTAGATGCAAGTATTTTAGTAGGTCCCATACTTTTAGTTCAACTCTCTGAAAATCACAAGAATATAGAAAATAATGTTTATTGTGTGAAAATATTCCAAATAACTACAGATCACTCAGTAACATTTACTCCGCTTTAAAAATTCCACATTTTGCTGCTTTGTTTCAGTTAAATCCTCTGAAAACCTACAACCTGTGGCTGCACCTATCCTCAGAGCCTTTTAATCGAATCATGGCAAGGGTTGCCAGTCCAAACTAATTTAAAATCAAACTCCAAGGTTTGGTGAAAAGTTGGCAGCCCTGTGAGGCTGATGACGTTTCACGAGTACACAAGGACGCACAAGTACAGATATTGAGAAACTGCCAAAGACTTACTTGGATTTAAATTTTTTGCACTCTGCTTATTAAGCCCAGATCATTTATCAGAGGAAGAAAAGCAGTAAGTTGCCATTGTGTAGCACCTGGGGAGCAGTGTGGGGTTAGGGACCCCAGGGACCCCGACTGGAGGCTATGGTGATCAAACTTGAAACCTTCTCAGAGCACAAGCACACTGCTCTAACCACTAGGGCACCACTCCCCCATAAAAGATGTTTATAAAATTTATATTTATGAAATTATTCTCCTACTTTTGCCACTGTTAGCTCTTCCAGGTCTCACCGTCCGGCTTCAAAAGTGAAGCGAGTGGCATCACGTCCATAGCGGCGGAGACAGCAGAGGGGCCAGGTGACCAGTTTGTTGCGAGGGTTGTGGATATCCCACAGGTATATGTTCTCATGGGTTATCTGCATCATGCACTCCCCGTAGATATCCAGGGTGGGAGAGGGGAGGAGAAAGACGCTGAAACGCTCTGACAACACAAAGATAACACAATAGTTTCCTTTATTAAGACATTTTTACCAAAGTAAACAACTTCAAATATTTCAGTTCATCCTTCTGGGTCATGCTGGTGAATATTCTCAGTCATCCAGGTCAGAGTCATTCCAAAAAAGTTAAAAAACAATCCACTGGACTTTGTTTCCAAGTTTAAAGACGTTTCTCTTCCCATCCAGGCAGCTTTTTCAATTCAAATTGTCAGAAATAGCATTGAGTTCCAGGTTTTATACATTAGTAGCCCTCTAAAATTTCCCCACTTTCCTTGGCTGGTCGCCTACAATTCCTTTTTAAACATCAATCTTTATACTAAAATATTCTTTCTGTCATGATTTGTGGACATTAAGACCTAAAGAGAAGGTCTTAATGGTCAGACCCTGTAATGCAGTGAAAGGGTCTGACAGAAAGAATATTTTAGTACAAAGATTGATGTTTAAAAATTAATTGAAGGGGAAACAGCCAAGGACCAGCCAAGGGCCAGCCACGGATCAGCCAAGGACCAGCCAAGGGCCAGCCAAGGATCAGCCAAGGACCAGCCAAGGACCAGCCAAGGGTCCATCGAGGAACTTGGGAATTTTTAAATGGCTACTACTGTAGGCAATGTGAGATGTCAACCAAACAGTTTTGAAGAGTGCTAAGCCCTAGAAAGGACCCAGAATTTCAGGGATTCATTTTTTTTTTACTTCACTGAAACATGACTATAGGATCATATCACCTGCTCCAGCCTCTCACTGGCAAGCTTTTTGACGATATGAGCTGGTAGGATTGGTTCAGGTCTCTTTTTATTCAAAGGACTCACATATCTATGTAGTAAGCCCTCCTCTTGGGGAATCAGATCAAAATTTAGCTTTTCTCAAAGTATAAGAAAATGGTCAGAGGAAGCTGAACAAACCCTGCAAGGTTATATGAGGCTAGAGACGGATGCACTGCGTCAGCCACATGGAGAGGAAATCAATGCAATGACTGAGTGTGTGACTGACTATAGAAATGTTTGTATAGATAACACCATACCCAGCAGAACAGTGAAATGTTTCCAAATAAGCAAACCCTGATCACCAGTGACAGGACCTAACTGCTAAAAAACTGTATC